AATATTGGTCTGAATATTCTTGAGACTAACTGAAATGAAAAGGAACTGTTGTGTAACCATCCATAATTCCAGCCTGTAGACCTGGGCTGTATTTCTATGCCCTGCTTGGCACTGATCCCACCTCCTGCCCCTCTCCCTCACCACCAGTCAATCCTCGTCCTAATGATCGGAGAGGGCAACCCTGAATGGGGAGCGGAGGGAAGAGATGTCATGAGATGGCAACGTGTACCCTGAAGTGAGGATGAAGGCTACGTGAGTGTTGTAGGCTGACAGCCGGGCATAGTGGCCCCGTTGCCATGGCGATGGAAGCATGTTGACGCAAAGTGTCTGCACAGCTCCTAGGATTTTTAACAGCAGCTGGGCAGAGCCTTGGCATCCCTGAATTGTTGCCCCCCTGAGTCACTCCTTGGCCCCAGCTGTCCTGCTCTCTGTTGACAAATGGTTGTCCTTCACAGTCAAACTACTAACAGTACTCTAATTAATGAATGTGCTAATTATTCTTGCCTACTCCCAGCACATTTGTCTAACTAACCTGTCACACACAGATCAGTGCAGCATATGCATAATTACGGAGGGCGCTGGGAGCAGGGGATGGGCGGGAGAGGGGTGGGCTGTCGCTGTGGGATATTTCTTGTAAAATTACCTTTGCTAACGGTCAGATGTCGTGGGGATATGTTATTTCCTGTGAAGTGCATATGTCTTCCTTTCTTTCCTTTCTAAAAATCTCTCTTCAGGGCTGAGGGGCCAGTGCTCAGTGCTTTAGCCTGTGAAGGGATTGTCAGGCATAAATGCAGAAGGACCAGGGAGCCCCAGGTTCTGAAGACGACTCCAGTAGCACCACGTAGGGTGATTAAAACCCCAGACTTTAAAGCCAGACCGGCCTGGGCTTGAACCCTTGTTCTGCTCCTTGCTATGTGGGTCTCTGCCTTGACCACATTTTTTTTTTTTTTTTTAAAAGACAGGATCTCCTTCTGTTGCCCAGGCTGGAGTGCAGTGTTGAGATCACAGCTCCCTGAAGCCTCCATCTCCACAGCCTCAAGCGATCCTCTTGCCTCAGTCCCGAGTAGCTGGGACTAAAGGTCTGCCACCACGTCCAGCTAATTTATTTTTTCTAGAGACGGGGGTCTTGCTATGTTGCCCAGGCTGGTCTCCAACTCCTGGACTCAAGCCATCCTCTAGCCTCGGCCTTCCAAAGTGCTGGGACTACAGGCGTGAGCCACCGTGCCAGGCCCTTGACCACATTTTTAACCCCTTTGAACCTCAGTTTCACTTTCTGGGCAATGGGAGGAGGGTAATTTGTCCCTCATAGGGTTGCACGGAGGAGCAAACTTGAGGCTCTGGGTGCAATGTCCAGCACAGACTAGGTCCCCACGACACAGCCGCTCAGCGCCTCCAAATTCTGGGCTGCTCTGGGCTGCGGCCAGGCGGTCTTGTGCGGGAATCCGGGCGGGCAGGCAGGGCAGGCTGCGCTCCCCTCCCTGACTCTCCCGGCGCCCCTCGTCTTTTTGTTCTGTCTCAGCAGCTCTCTATTGAGATGAATGGCATTTCCACAGCTTCACCTCTGATAAGTGCTCCTCTGCAGCCGCAGCCAGAATCTTAATGTGCGCTCTGTAATTTAATGGCCGTCTCGGCTATTAACACGCTCTTCCGGGTGAAGTGGACTCCCTCCATCCCCGGGCCTCTGCACGTGCTCTGCGCGCCGGCTGCCCCTGCGGGTGACTCCGAGGAGCTCAGAGCAGGGGCGCCCAGCACCTCTCCAGGCGCCTTTGGGCCTTCTAAAGCACGAATGGCTGGACTTTTCTCCCATGTGTGGGGCCCCAGAAGGTGTGGGTCCCTGCGTTCCACGGAGCCCGGAAGGTTTCCAGTGGTGGTGGGGGCTGACCATGTTGGTCCCCGTAGGTGCTGTTTTCGTGTGCCGGCAGATTGGGAAGAGTTTTAAAGACAGAAGTGTGTAGGATTGAGAAACTTCTTTAAAAACTGGAAATTTTAATCTGGGGATTATAAGTATTGGACCATCAAGTGCAACAGTAAATACACCTCTCATTCCCTCCTCCCAGTTTTTCTTTGCGGGGTTAGTCCCCGTCTGCCATATGATAATTGTGAGAACTACCAGGGTCTGCGTTCTCCTGCCATCTGGTTGACCTCTCCAAGAATGGACACCCGGGCAGCCTGGGCCAATGAGGCTGCCCTAAGAGATTAGATGAGAGAACTCAGTCTTTGACAGGTGATAGAAGCTGTAAAATGTAAAACTCCAGAGATGGTGAAGATATCTCCAGGAAACAGGCCTCCAGAGAGAATACGTTTGACATGCTAAGAGAAGCTGAGAGAGAGAGAGATTGGAAGAAAGAGACAGAGGTAGAGAGAAGGGGAAGAGAGAGAGAGAAAGGGACAGAAGAGAGAGTAAAAAGAGGGGAAGGGCAGGAGAGAGAGAATCCCATTTAAGAGTGCTACATTTAAGAGAGAGAGAGAAAACTTTCTAGCTCCAAGGCCTAACCACATCTCTACTCTTTTCAACTTCGGTTGTCAGATTTTTAGACTCTGAGTGAATAAATTCTCCTTTTTGCCTAAACTAGTTTGAGCTAAGTTTCTACTGCTTGCAACTGGAATACTTTGTAAGAGGACTGGCCTTCACTTCTGATGCATTGTCACTAAGATGTGGTAAATGTTAGAAGGGCTAACTCTATGGGGTTCAAACTCCTTGGCTACCAAAACCCAAACATCCCCTGAAACTTACCAAACTGCAGGTATGAACTGGATCTCACTAACGTGAATATACAAATCTTGCAAGTGCTGAGCCCTAACCAATCTTGTAATAACTCTGTGGTAGTTAATTTTATGTCAAACTGATTGAGCTAAAAAATGCCCAGGTAGCTGGTGAAATGTTTTTTCCGGGTGTGTTGGTGAGGGTGTTTCTGAAAGAGATCAGCACTGCAATCAGTGGACTGGGTAAAGAATTCCCACCCTCACCAACGTGGTGTGTGTCATCAATCCACTGAGGGCCTGCATAGAACAAAAAGTGGGCAGAAGGGCAAATTCCCTCTTCTTCTTGAGCTGGGCCATCCATCTTCTCTTGCCCTTGGACACTGGAGCCCCTGGTTCTCCAGCTTTTGGATTCAGACTGGGTCTTGCACCATTGCCCTCCTTGATGATCAGGCCTTTGAATGCAGACTCATCTTCACCAGCAGCTATTCCGAGTCTCCTGCTTGCTGATGGCAAACCATGAAACTTCATGGTCTCCATGAGCATGTGAACCAATTTCTATTATAAATCTGCAAAATATATATATATATAATGACTAAACAATGTTTGAAAGGCAGAGGAGGGTGGATCACCAAGTGGGTCAGCTCTGCCCAATCACAGAAAATCATGCTCTCAAAGTATAGAGAGAGTGCAGAGCCCAACCCAGTCACGGGTGCATGTGAAACTGTACCTCATTGTCTCCACATATATATATATATATATATATATATATATCTCCATATATACATCTCCATATATAAAAATCTATATATATACACATATGGAGATATGTGTGTGTGTATGTGTATATGGAGATTTATTCATTTATTGGTTCAGTTTCTCTGGAGAGCCTTGGCTGATATAACGTCTACACTCTACAAAGTGCCCTAGGTACTCAGGGAGTACCCAAGTGTGTCATGACCAGCCCGACTGCCCTGGCTACTGGCTTCCCCGCTTGCAACTCTGCACATTGCCTCCACCAGCTTTTCTCTCTCAGCTGAACTGAGGGCACTCAAGCTGGCCTCTGGCACTGTATGTCTGAGGGAGCAATATCTTCCCTTACACTGACCTCTTCCAAGCCGAGACGCAGCCCTCCCTGCTGCCACCAGTTACAGTGGTCCATGTTCCCTTTCAAAGTGAAGTTTTGATAAAAGCACCTCTTATCCAATGCCAAATAGCTGAGTCTGGTACAAAGGTTGCAGATGTTTTGCATTTGCCATGTAACCTCGGAGGGATTGCCATTCACACTGAGCTGAGCTGCAGAATACCAGACAGCCACCTCACCCACCCGGCAGGTCCGCGCTTACACTCTCTCAGAAAGCACAGCCGCTCTACTCGTACTAAGTTGAAAAGAATTTCCAGGAAGGCGTTTCTACAATTGCCTCAGAAAAGCCAGTTGCAGTGTTTAACAATCCTTTGGAAACTTCCCTTAGGGATCATCTGTAACTCTATTTCTGCCTTTTGCCAATTATTTGGTTTGGTTTTAATTCTTTGGTTTAATTCATTAATTCATTTTATTACTTTTCTCTGAAGAAATGGAGATATCAGCTGTCCCTCCCCACTGCCATTGATTCCTTCCTTCATTCAAACCTTATGTGGCTGCTACTGAGGGCCCTACTGTGTGTTAAGTGTTCACTTTTTTTCTTGGAATTCAAAGAAAGAAGGACAGTACTTGGGGCACAGATCTTTTGGTGTTCTATAAATGGTTTTAAAGTTTCATTTTACATGTGTGTGTGTGTGTGAGAGACAGTCTTTCTCTGTTGCCCAGGCTGGAGTGCAGTGGCATAGTCATTGGCTCACAGAAGCCTCAAAGTCCTGGGCTCAAGCGATCTTCCCACCTCAGCCACCCAAAGTGCTGGGGTTATAGGCTTATACCACTCTGTCTGACCTGAAAGTTTTGGGTTTTATTTCCCTTCTTTCTCTTTGCTGAAGTCAGAGATGATGGCAGCTTCCAGATTCTCTGGTGCCTGTGCTGGGCTCATGCTGGTCCTAGTCTTGGATCCAGGATTCGTTCTGGAGACTCCCAGGGAAGTTTCCCATGACAAGGAAGTGTAGGAGAGTGTGCTGGCTTTGTCTGCGCCTCTGCCAAGCCCTGCTTCTCCTGATAGGTCACACTGAACCACAGCCAGGGCATTTTGGTGGCTAGTTTAAAAAAAAAAAAAAAAAAAAAGGAAGAAGGAGGCACTGTGTCATTGTGCTGGGGATCTTCAGAAATTCTAATGATGAAAGAGTGCAAGCTCTCACTTCCCCTTCCTGTACAGGGCAGGTTGTGGGGCCGGAGCCAGAACAGTCCTCTCCGGAGAGCCTGAAGCAAACATGGATCAAGAAGCTGTAGGCAATGTTGTCCTGCTGGCCATTGTCACCCTCATCAGCGTGGTCCAGAACGGTAAGGAAAACCTTTTACTCAGGGAAGGACAGAAGGGGAGATTTTCTTTGATGGGTGTTTGGAAGTCAGGCTTAAACTATTGTGTCGCACACACACTTTTACCTTATCTTTATTTGCTTCTTTTTATTGGAATGTATAGGGTTGTGTGTATTTGTGTAAATTTGGCGTTTTCCTCCTCTTAGTCTTTCACTTTCGTGGTGATGACTGCTCCCATTTTTAGAGCCAGGGCTGCAACTTGAAGGCTTTTGCTAAAACCCTCACTGAAGTGTCTATGATCAGCATTTTAGCTATTGATTAATGTAGCCAGGCAAGAGGTGGAAGGTAAGAAGACTAGAAAGGGAACATGATATGTACATTTACGCAGACACGGGCTTTTCTAGCTTCTGCAGCGCAATTGAAGTTCCCAGTCATCTGCAGTCTAACAAGAGTGATTTTGGTAGGTGTGTAGGAAAAATCATCTTATTATTTTTCCTCTATATTACTTTTTTCTTTTGTTCTTCTGAAGAAACATGGTTTTATTTTTGTGACACCTTTTTTTTCTCTAGCATGTATAATTTTAGAAGCATTTTTCATATGCATTGTATACTTCGGAAAGAGAGAGAGAGAGAGAGAGAGGAAAATTGTCCTGCTCAGCATTTGCATTTCCATTATTCCGCTATTAGTTAAAAAAAAAAACAACAAGCAGGATACCTAGATCTGGAAAAGGGAGGACTGTGTAGCGCTGTCTCCCTAAAGTTCTGAGTTAGGACTGCCTCAGACCACTTTCATAAGTATCTCCAGTGCCTTTGTGTTTTTTATTTATTAAGATAGAGAAAAAAAAGAGTAATTACTAAGGGCAGCTGCTGTAGCTTCGTGGTGATTACTGAACATTGACACGCTGTCACGTTTTGGAACTTTGAGTATTGAATCACTTTGGGATATTCTATTTTCCCCCATCTTGAGTGTGGACAGATGATGGTGATGTAGCCTCCTGGGCACAGAGCAAGCCTCCCCCTCAGCCTCCAGGGCAGAAAGGCCCAGCTTCGTACACTCCAAGTATGTTTTCTATAAGAACTATACTTTGTGGGTTTCTGACCCAAACATTTTTATACTAAATTACATACAACGAAGTTGTAGCTCAGAGAGGGAACAAATGGCTTATTTAGGCCACCATTTCCTTGAGCCCTTACGGTTTCACACGGGGCTCCCTTGGCCCTGTAAATTGGCAAGGATTCCTTTATTCAACCTGCATACATGTACAGAGACCCTGCTCTGGGCCAGATAGTATTCTGGGTATGGGGGAATACAGCAGGGAACAAAACAGCTCCAGTGATGGACAGGTCAGCCTGCGGCCACGCCTGCAGTCTCTGCAAAGGTAGCTGTATGGGTGGGCAGGTGGCCAGCACTTATTCAGCTCTAGTATTCACTTATTCACCTCTCCCCTGACACCCATCAATAAAACTGAGGGGCATCGGTGGACAGGGGACCTTGTGCCCCCTCACCTGTCTGTGCAGTTAGGGCTGAACTCTGCTACGAAGTTTGAGTTCACCCTGTCCGGCTCCCTCTCGATTCAGAGCTGAGCTAGGGGAAGCTTCAGAGCTCTCCATTTCAAGGACAGGTTCTCCTCACCTCTCCTAACGGAGGTGCACTGGGGAACTGGCCCTGCTCTGCCCAGGGCTTTATCCTGGGCTTTGCCATCATGGTTTAGCAAACCCTGTTCAGATTGAGGTGGGTGTGAGATTTCGAATTCTTTTTGACAGATAGGATTAAATCTTCTTCTGTGGGACAAGTGGGAGGTGGAGGTAAGATTAAAGATGGCCAGATGTCTGAGTCCTGACAGCCACAGTCTGGAGACCTAGACTTTTTAGAGACCACAGGGCACAGTGGCCTCACTAACAGAGTTCCTGGAAATGATGAGTGTGCTGGGGGCTTCCTGGTTGAGGAGATACCAGCACGGACCAGCAGGGAGCTAATTTTTTGGGCTGGAGCGTGACGGCCTGCACGTCACTGCCTCTGTCCCTCCATTGTCACAGCTGCCCCTTGGGAGCCAGCTGAGGCAATGTGTGGTCAGAGTGACTTTGCACAGTTCTCCTGCCTGTGCTCAGTAAGGGAATTTCTGTGGTCCCAATGAAACCACAGCAGAGCCCCTCATATACCTCTCAGTGGAGGTGGCAAAACATTCAATAACTTGGGAGATAACACGACTATTTGTTTTTAACTGTGAGTTTTTAGGTAATCCCAAAGATCCAGATGTATGTCCAAGCCTCTTTTTGCAATTCTAATTCACCTCAATGTTGCAACCATAGACCTACCTTACAGAATTCAAAAAAAATATGCAAAAACCCTGCCTTTCTTCTTCCTCATACCCTAAAATGCCATTGTGAACACTTCCTGTTAGTTAAAGAAAGATTTCCATGGTGTTACCAGGCACTGCACCCAGTCTGCGTCCTAAGACAGTGAGGCACAGTTCCACATACACCCATGACTGCACTGGGGTCTGCACTCTCTCCGTACTTCGAGAGCCTGATTTTCTGTGATTGGGCAGAGCCGGCCCACCTGGTGCAATGTCCTCCTCTGCCTTTCAAACATTGTTTAGTCATCAAGATCTTCAAACTTGTAACCCTTTCCAGCTTGATCCAGCAGAATGCAGATTTAGAAAAACAGAACGAGTTTCAAATACATTGTTCTAAGAAACCTGGACCAGAACTATCAAAACTTGGTTTCCCAGAGAATGCAGCAAATGGGCTCATTGGCCAATACTATGGCACTGGCTTTTGAGAGAAGAAAGGCTTCATTGCATGGCTGGCCAGCAAGGAGACAGGAGTTGGGCTCAAATCTGTCTCCCCAGTTTGGGGCTTTTAATTACATAGATGCATTTCTTATGAGTAGCAGACAGAGAGCCTCCAACTTCTCCAGCCAAGGTACCAGCAGCTTGGACGTGATGCAAACCTGGGAAGCACATACTGTATTTGGAGAAAGTGATTGGGGAGAAATGTGAGCTGAGGGGAGGGGCTCAGTGCCCCTGAGCTACACTTAGTGATGGCAGAGGAAGGATGTGGAGGCTGTTCTGCATCTGCTCTCGTTGTAGGGGGAGCTGGCAGGCATTAGCAGTGTCCTCTTTCCCCCAAGAGAGGCAGGCTCCTCCAAGTTTTGGCGACATTATGGCCCTGGAGTCATAAGGATTTGTGAGCATAGTGCTAAGGAGGGAAATGGAGCTGCTGTTACAATTTCTACCCCAACACATACACACACTCGCAAGAAACCTCCCAAGCACCATATTGGAAGACTTTGCCATCCAACCTGGGGTTTGATAGGCTCTAGAAACAGAATCATAGACTCATGAAGTTCCCCCAAAGCAGGAATCTTCCTTACAGTAACCACCACAGCTGCTTCTTCCTGAACACTGCAGTGTTCAGAAAACTCACCACCTTCCAAGCTTGCCTTTCCAATTGTTGCATGGATTGAAAGCTTGCGTTGTGTGAAGAATGGTGCTTCCTGCGGTGCTTAGTATTATCTCATGTAATCTTTGCACCATTTAATCCTCGCACTCACCCACTCACGCAACTGCCTTTGCAGAGACTAGAGAGGTCACTGTAGGCTGACCTTTCCTTCACTGTACCTGTTTTGTTCACCCTGCTTTAGTCCCCTGCACCCAGGACACTGCCTGGCACAAAGACAGGTCTTTATAAGTGTATGCAAGTGAATAAAGAAATATGTATTATTATTATTATTATTATTGAGTTTCACTCTGTCGCCCAGGCTGGAGTGCGGTAGTGCAATCTCAGCTGACTGCAACCTCCGCCTCCCAGGCTCAAGTGATTCTCATGTCTCAGCCTCCTGAGTAGCTGGGACTACAGGCATGTGCCACCACGCCCGGCTAATTTTTGTATTTTTAGTAGAGACAGGGTTTCACCATGTTGGCCTGGTTGGCCTCGAACTCCTGACCTCAAGTGATCCTCCTGCCTTGGCCTCCCAAAGTGCTGGGATTACAGGCATGAGCCCAGCCTAGAAATACATACTACATGATTTATTCCTGTTTTACAGATAAGCAAAGTGAATCATGGAGAATTTGGAGCGTTGGTTGAAAGTCCCAAGGTCAGGAGTCGTGAAGCTGGGATTAAAACCTAATCACCTGTCTTTAGAGAGTAGACACTTGCTCCATGCATATTGCCTCCAATTCATTCATTCAAGCACTCACTGTTCAAGAAGTTCTGTCTTATATTGAGCTGAAATCTGCAGCCCTGCGCCTTTTATCCAGCAGTCCTGGTGCTGTTCCCTAAAATCACTTAGACTGTGCCTGCTCTTTCTGTGTTTACAGTGTCAGCTGTCACATCCCCCTCTTCAGCCTATCGTTTCTGGAGTCCCTTGCCATTGGGTCGCCTCTCCTCTTCCTGTGTTCTTTCTAAGAACACCTATGCAGATAGGTGTCTTCTGTACAGGGAAGCTGTTCCTGAGATATGGACTCCAACTCTGTTAGAATAATCTACGTATGAGTTACTTTTTCGAGAACTGTGTGTCACTGCTGAGTCATATGAACTCTGTGGTTAACTAAAATCTCAAGATCTCTTTATGTTTGTTGAGAAACTTATTTAACTTCTCTGGCCCTCAGTTTCCTTCACTGAGCAGTGGAGTGATTGATAACCTCCACATGTGGTTGCTGAAGGTCTTGCACAAGATGATATAAAGTAGCTAGCCGTGCCCACGTACAGCAGATGCCTCACAAGGGTTTGCAGCTATCTCTCTATCTAGGTCTTTGTCTCTCTCACACTTGTTCTGGCTTACTGCTAGCAGCTAGCTGCGATAAGTGTGTTTATGGTCTTTGCATGCATTGTTTCTGTAGCATACTGCAGGATTACAAGAGGCTGGGGAGTGAGGGGGCGGTGAGGAGTAGACAAAGGCAGCCAACTCTTCCAAGTTATCTTAGAAGGAAGGAGAGGTAAACCCTAGTGGAATGTTGGACTGAGGCAGGTTTGTTTTTGTTTTGTTTAAAGGGTAGGGAAGATCTGTGGGTGTTTCCAGGATAAAGAAAAGGATAGCAGATGATATTAAAGATTCTGGAAGTGGGAGAAGGAGCAATGAAATACAGACTTGAAGTCAGTGGCATGGACAGGGTCAAGATTGCAGGTAGAGGTCACAGCCTTAGAGAAAAGGAAGGGACTTGGTTCTCTGAGCAAGGAGGGAAAGAAGAGAGGTAGATGCAGAGAACTACAGCGTGTCGTGCTGCTGGTTGCAGAAATAACCTCTGACTTTTAATACAGTCATCCCTCCGTATCCCTGGAGGATTGGTTTCAGGACCTCCCTTGGATGCCGAAATTCATGGATGCTCAAGTCCCTGATATAAAATGGCATAGTATTTGCATTTAACCTACACACATCCTCCATATACTTTAAGTAATCTCTAGATAATCTCTAGATTACTTGTTTTGTCTTTTTTTTTTTTTTTTTTTTTTTGAGATGGAGTTTCACTCTCGTCACCCAGGCTGGAGTGCAGTGGTGCAATCTCAGTTCACTGCAACCTCCGCCTCCTGGGTTCAAGTGATTCTCCTGCCTCAGTGTCCCGAGGAGCTGGGATTACAGCCCCCCCTCAACTCCCCCAACAACTGGCTAAGTTTTGTATTTTTAGTAGAGACGGGGTGTCACCATGTTGGCCTGGCTGGTCTCAAACTACTGACCTCAGGTGATCTACCTGCCTCGGCCTCCCAAAGTGCTGGGAATACAGGTATGAGCCACTGTGTGTGGCCTAGATTACTTATAATACCTGATAGAATGTAAATGCTATGTAAACCGTTGTTATACTGTATTGTTAAAAAATAGTAACAAGAAAAAAATCTATATATTTTCAGTACAGACAAAATGTGTTTTTTTTGTTTTGTTTTGTTTTAATATTTTTGGTCAGTGGTTGGTTGACTCCAGGAATGCAGAACCTGCAGATACAGAAGGCTGATTATACTAGCCCTGTTTATGTGTTCAGAGGCAGGGAACACCATCTTGGGTTCTGGAAAGAAAACAATTGGGATCTTCTGTCATACTCTGGCAAAAACAGGTCTTTGGAATGGACAGGTGTATTAAACCCTGTGGAACTGGCTGGGCCCGGTGGCTCACGCCTGTAATCCCAGCACTTTGGGAGGCCAAGGCGGGTGGATCACAAGGTCAGGAGATCGAGACCAGCCTGGCCAATATGGTGAAACCCCGTCTCTACTAAAAATACAAAACTTAGCTGGGTGTGAATGACGCATGCCTGTAGTCCCAGCTACTGGGGATACTGAGGCAGAAGAATCGCTTGAACCCTGGAGGCGGAGGTTGCAGTGAGCCGAGATCACGCCACTGCACTCCAGCCTGGGCGACAGAGTGAGATTCTGTCTCTTTAAAAAAAAAAAACCCCATGGAACTGATGAAATCCTGCGGGGAGCTTCACGGTGACAGCAAGAGGAGAAACACATCCCCACGTGACTCGCAGAGTTTGAAGTCCCGGCTGCACTGCTCCCCAGCGGCGGGGTGACTCTGGAAGGTCGCAGGGTTCTTACCCACAGAGTGGGAACAGTACTACCCACTGCAAAGAGTGGGTGCAAAACTCAGTGACAGAATACACGGCAAGTGCCCATCACATTGCCTGGGATGAGGTAGGCCCTTCCTTTATGCAAGAGACCCTACAGATACACTTAAAGTGGTCACATTCCTACAGAAGGAGTGTTATTTGTATCAAAAAGAAACACATGAAAGGCTTTTATTCCTATACATAATAAAGCACCCTTTTAATGTCTTTCTGAGGCGGATAATATGAAATTGATGAAAAGGAACCCTGTGGTTGGATCCCTGACAATCACATATATCCCCCTTTTCACTCTTGAAAAAGGAGTAAAGGAATAAAATAGAAAAGGAGAGAGGGGAGAGAGACCTTCACCCCTCCATCATCCAATCTATAGTCAAACCCTCCAGACTGTGTCTCCTTGGCGTCTCTGACAGCCCCACCGCCACCACCCCAGTGGACTCCTATCTTATCCGCTGTTCCTGGATCTGATTCTGCGAAGTGCCTGCCACACTAAACACAGGGTGGCTTTCTGATGACTACATTCCTCTGCTTAAACCTGTCAGTAATTCCTTATTGTTCTCAGACAGAACTAAGTTCTGAATTTCTTCACACGGCTCTCAGCAAGGTCACAGTCACCCTGCTAGGCCCAGGTGCAAATCTCAATGGTCATCTTCTTAAGCCCTGGCTCAGTTATTACTTTGTCATTGGGGCTCACGCCCCCACCCTCTTGCATGCATCAAACGGCCCCTTACCATGCTCTTCTTTCGCCCATAGCTCAGCACACCGTATCGTTCCAATTTATGTATTTTGCTTACTGCGGATGATCTGTTTCCTCCTCTGCTGCCCTCACCAGAGCATCAGTTTCTCAAACCAAGGCTCTTTGTTTTGTTCTTGGATGCAAGCTAAATGTCTGGCACGTGGCAAGTGGTCATAGACACATGTCATTGAAAGAACAATTCATCACCTGCCTCTTTGGCCTTGTCTGTAGTTCTACCAAATCCCACTTTCTCCCCAGCGCCCTCCATTCCCCCTCCTTGGCTGGACATTCTGAACCAAAACAGTTCTTTCCCCTGGACGTTCGCATATTCCGTTCTCCTAACGTAGAGTGGCCCCTCTCCCTCCCTCTGCTTGGCTAATTTCTACTTGTTCTTCAGATTTTATCTTAGGTGTAATTCCCTCTAGGAATCCTTCTGTGACCCAACATGGAATTAAGTTGCCTCCTTTGACCCTGAAAGCACCGTGTACTCAATCTTATCTTGGCATGACTCGCTCTGCTGTGTGGAACACCTGCTTTCCTTGTTTGTCTATTCCTTTAGGCTGTAAGATCCTGGAAAGTGGGGGCCTTGCCTTGCTCACAACTGCGTTTCCAACACCAAACACAGCGTTCAGTAGGGAGCAGCTGCTGAGTACATTTCTGCTAAATGACAGTTGATGGAGGACATTTAGGGCTGTTTGGAGGTCAAGTCAAGGAGGCATTTAACATTCTAGTAAAACAAGGAAGTAACAGACTCCAGAACATGCCCACGATGAGCCGAATGCAAACCTTTTTTGTTGGCAGGATTCTTTGCCCATAAGGTGGAGCACGAAAGCAGGACCCAGAATGGGAGGAGCTTCCAGAGGACGGGAACACTTGCCTTTGAGCGAGTCTACACTGCCAAGTGAGTCTAAACCCTGATGTTGCTAACGGCGGGGGGGGGCAAGGGCAGGGGGGTCTCCTTCTAGGAGTGATGACACCCTTAATACCACAGGTCTGTCTGAGCCAACTTTCCGAGCGCCAGGGAGCTAAGGAAGGTTGGATTTCACCAGAGAGGCGTTGTGGACACCCTTCATCATGTTAGTGAGTGCTAGTGTCAAAAGAAAGGGAGTGGGGATATGAGGCGCGTTGGCGGAGTGAGGTGTGATCTCTGCAGCTTCAGAAAGATCAGAAAGAGTCATTTGATTAGGGAAGTTGACCTATTTCCTGTGGGGTTAGACCAGGGGTGTTACTGTGAACACCAGCCATGACTCACTAGTCGCCTTCAGAAGCCACAGGCAGGACACGCTGGTGACAGCCTTCAACTCACCTGCCCCTCGCTCTCCTGCAGGTGGAAGTCTGGAGGTGACACCAGTGCATTTTCTAACACAGGGGCTCCTTGAGCAACTAGAATAAGAACAAAAAGAATGGGGACATTACGCAGGTGCTTTCCCCCTCTCTCATTCTTTTCTTTGAATACAAAGGCTGTTTGAAAACACCCGAGCAGCTCCTAAAGATGGGTGGAATCTATTCAGGATGCAAATCCGAAGGAATGTTATTCAAATCCTCCTCTCTCCTTTATGCAGAGTGTATTTCAAGGCTCAGCCAGCGGTAGGTGTGTTGGGGACTATGGACTACGGACTACGGACTACGGACTAGGGGCCTGTCACGGAGGAAGGCCTCATGCTAGGGAGCTAAGGGAGAAGTGGGCCTTCAGTTCCAGCCCACGAGCAACTTTGATGTCCCCAGAGATCCTTCCAAAGGGGGAGTCATGGTCACCCAAGAAAAATGCATTCAGAATGCCAAGAATGGGGCAAACGCAGGATAAAGATTCACACCGCAGGGCTGGAGTCCCTGGGCTCGCTGCTGGCACCATGGGAGGGAGGGTCCCCTTCAGGGGTACCATTGGTTTCCCGTGAATTAAACTGGTTTCAAGGGACCTCGACTGAACAGGCCTACATCACACTCACCGATATACTTTCTCTTCAGTCCTCCTCATCTAGGTATTTTTAATTGTTTCAGTGAGGTATAAGCAAGCGGGAATTGGAGGGAGCGTCTCCTCAGCTCCCTCCCTCCGCTCTGAAATTGCTGGGCCACTCTTGAACACATTAGTACGGTGGTCACAGTCTGATCGCCTGGCCCCTTGCCCTCTTTGGGCATTTTCCTTTCGGACAGTCCCTGAACACTCACAGTGCTGCTGCAGCGGGCCACCTAGGTCTCCCTCTTTCTGCATGCTCCCACCTGCTCTGGGCTCCACTCCCTTCTCCCAAGCACTTCTGTTCAGGGCTATTCCAGCAGTCCAAGCTCAAGGAAATCCTTTGCTAAACTGATTATAGAGAGGTTTCTATTTTAACATCTAGGCCTTCCATGTATTAATTCTCAGAATCAACTTAAGATGTTTAAAGGTGTGATTTAAGACATTTTAAAACCATTTGGAGGAGAGTACAGAAATTGTGTCGGTTGCTGTCAGCCTCTTTGCACCATCTGCAGAGAAAAATACTCGAGTCCCACCTCGGACACATCCACAGGCAAGAGGTGCAAAGAAGGTGTCTCTGATGAGGCAAGGTCGAAACTTCTCCCCAGACGAAATCCAAAGCAAGCATTCCTACTATGCTATATCAGTTTGGAAAGAGAAACTTCTGCCAGGTGACTGCATTCTCACTGGTCACATTGTGTTCCTATGCACTCCTCAGCTCAACCAGTTTGGAGAAGTTATGGCGCGATTTCACCGTATGTGGTTAGAAGTTAGGTTTCCATCTGGCTGGCAATGAAGAAGAAATGGAGCAGGCCAGGCTGTGTAGTTTCTGCCATGTCCCCCCAGGAGTGAACAGCTCTGTTTCTAAGAAGCCATGGCACTCAGACCTGGCCTCACTGGTTGCCAGCCTCCAGATTGCAGAAGTGCCTTTGGTTGGTGGTTGTGCTGTGTCATTTGGAAGTTCCACAGTCATTGTGGGGCTCCAGAGATGAAAAGTGTAAGAGGAGAGTGGAAGGTGCTTATTGCCGCTCGGGCATCCCCACTGTGTGGGTGCTTCAGCCCAGCCCTCAAAACCCACGGGTCTGTACACTCATCCGCCATGAGAGGGAAGGCGGAGGGAGGGGACAGCCAGTCATGGAAAGGTAGGAACTAAGCAGGCAGGGTGGCGAGTTTTCCGTAAGATAAAAATTGTCTGGATACTGCTGAGGTTCTGTTACAAAGACCACTTCCTCCCTGGGCCAGCAGTGTATCTGTGTGCCTGTCTGGGTTGTAAAAAGGGCCAAAGATCAATGCAGCAGGCAGCTACATGCTGGCAAAAGCCAGAGGCAGCTGGTCTGTTCGCCTGTGTCAGGAAACCACTGGGAATAGGGTTGTGTGTTATTCTAGGAGAAAGTCGTCCCAGGAGCAGCTTCTCCAGGGGCATCCAGGAACACTGAAAACGGTTGCAAGATGACCCATGAGGCTGCAGGAAGAAATGAAGCTTTACTCATTTTTAACATATACACGGACAGTAGTATGTGTATATAGTTTATATGCAAATATACTTGTTATAAGGTTGCATGCTCAAAACTTGGTTGATGGGGTGTGGGATCATAAATGTTTAGTGACCATGGCTATCAAGGAAAAACAGCATGAAGGACAAATGATACTGGCGGATTAAAAAGACAGATGCATGTATTTTTAGCATAAAACACAACTGCTGACTGATAGAGATAGCTCAAGATTCTGGGGCAGCTGCTGAACAGATACCCCAGGCAGTGCGGCTCATCAGCTCAGACTTGGCCTTAATTAATGGGCTGTGCCTTCACCCATCTCCCACGAGGGCAGAGCTGAGTCAGGGTCTGAGAGCTAAAAGGAATTGGATCTGGACTCTGTTCATGTGTATATTTTAATTCTAATTAATTAATTTTTTTAAAAGACAGAATCACCCTCTGTTGCCCAGGCTGGAGTACAGTGGCACGATCTTGGCTCATTGCAACATCGGCCTCCCACGTTCAAGTGATTCTCCTGCTTCAGCCTCCTGAGTAGCTGGGATTACAGGCACATGTCCCCATGCCCGGCTAATTTTTGTATTTTTAGTAGAGACAGGGCTTTGCCATGTTGTCTAGGCTTGTCTTGAACTCCTGACCTTGTGATCCACCTGCCTTGGCCTCCCAAAGTGCTGGGATTATAGGGCGTATTGTTTTAAGCCACTCAGTTTGTGGCCACTTGTTATATCAGCAAGAGGAAACTCATACCATCATCATGTGAACTCACAGGAATATGGTGAGTTAAGAGAGGATGGGTGTAAAACATCCATGGTAGAGTGAGAACTCTCCAGGGAGTGAGGACTGTGTCTGGCACACAGTGATCGCCCTCTCAGTAAGCTAACTTTCTGAGCACCAGCTTTTTTGAATTGACCTTGGTATCTTTAACGCTTGAAGATCACCTTCCTTTGCTCAGCCTGACTTGCCGACCTGGGCTGATTTGTGGATCTGATAGAAAAGATTCCTTAGTTGGGCTCTTCTCCCCCACCACCCCCACGCCAGTGTGGCCACCTTGTGGACACAATCCTCTGTCTGCATTGCTCACTCTTCAATTCCAAGAAGCACAGGTGCACTGCCAGGAACCGGAACCCTGCCAAAGGAATACATCAAGAAACCAAGTCTCCCTTATGCATCACCATAGGAACAGAGTTAATGGATTATGAACATGTGTTTGCTTTATACCATTGTTTGTTTCCCAGGTGGCAGCTGGCTGCCCCATCTTATTGGGTAGATGGAAGTGGAATTATGAATGGGATTTATGTTTCATACATGATGATGATGATTAACTTCAACTTTCAGGTAATTTTCAGACCATATTGCAGTGACTTGGTATCTGATTGTTTTTCTCCTTGTTTATTTATTCCGCAGCCAGAACTGTGTAGATGCGTACCCCACTTTCCTCGCTGTGCTCTGGTCTGCGGGGCTACTCTGCAGCCAAGGTAACTCAGACTTCCCTTTGTTCATTCTCCTTCTATAAAGTGCATCTCAAGGAGGTTCAAAGGGCAGGCTTTTTGTTGAAAGGACTTTGCCTGACCTCTGGCTCCCATCTGTGAAGCCCTGGAGAGGTGAGAGCCCTCGGGAGGCTGTGTTTCAGGCATGCTCTGCGCCCGTGCACAGCGCGTGTGATAATGCATTGCTAATGCTTGCTCCCTGGTGGCTGGTTGAGAGCTGCTGTGCTGACAAGGGTGGTTTAAGGCTAAATGTGACTCAGAATCCTTAAGCAGTGTTAGTTCAGATACAAGGGCATTATAAATGAGAGTGCCTGAGGGATCTATTCTGGGGCGGCTGTAACTGGGCTCTTCTGCTGATAAGCTTCCAGTATGGTGGCCCTCCTTCAGGCATATTTCCACTGAGCCACGGGCTGGATGCCACATCCCTGGCCTTCCCAGGTTAGCAGCAGCCCACAGGCTTGACTTGAGCAAGTTGGAAATACAGATCAACTTCCAGAGTTGATTTAACATTGAGTGGAAATCAGTCATATTTTCGGTCCCCTTTCGGGGCCATGCCTGGCACTGTGCCTGGTGGCCGATCAGCATGAACTGGCTAGCTTCTGTGGCCCTGGAGGGCACAGGCAGAAAGGCCACACTGAGTCCCATGATGAACTATGTAAGACTTATTTTTGTCTTCCCGCTCTATAAAGTAGATAGAGTGGATCTTATGTCCCTTATTACCTTTCAGGATACTTTGATTCAGAGAGATGAAGTAACTTGCTTACAGCTACTCAGCTGGTGAATAACACAGGCAGAATGAGTGCCTGGGTCTTTTGGCTTAAAATTCTGGATTTTCACAAAGATCCTCTTACTATATTCATTTACATAATAAATATATATTGAAGAGCTACTCTGTGCCAAGCCCTGAGCCTAGATATACAGTGATAAATAAAAGAGATGGCGGTGAAGCACAGGCCAGCTGGCAAGATGGACCACAGACGTCAGTGAATGAAGAAATGACAAGGGTGGGAAGCACCATGCGGGAAAAGAACTAAGTTCAGTGATAGAGAGCAGAGGTGAGGCGACAGCAGAAACCACTTAAGGGACACCACGTGGCACTCCTTCTGTGCTGAGAAGGCTGTCAGTAAGCTCGCCATTTATTTCCTATTTTCTATCCTGAGTTAAATAGGAAATATGTCTCGCATTACTCAAAAAATCAAGTCAAACTATGCTCTTACTAGGAGTTATGGTTCCTTTTATGTCTTAGATGATGCTTGATCCAGATGAATGCGGACTTGCTGTAGCCAGATAAATACAATGGGAGTTTGAAGGTGTTTCGTAGCCCTGGAAATATGTATTTCCTGTCAAAACAAGCTTTGTCATTGCCAGCAGACAAAATCATCAGTAAACCTTGATTGATAATCATGATTTCCCATGAATAATTAGACTGTAGAATTTTTTTGAGCAGAAAGGAAACCCAAAGATAATTCTAGTGCAGATCCCTCACTTCACAGAGCAGAAGCTCAAGTCACAGAGGAACCATGGCTTGCACGAACATCAGAACTTCAGAGCCTGGATTTATACCCTCCTGGTGCCGGCAGCCCACTTCCCTGCAGGAGGCACTCACCTTCCTTGCACAGGGGTTTGAGTACGGTCATTTTCCACCCATAATCTCTGATAGCTCATGTTCAATTGGGTTCCCATTGAAAGAAAAATGGACCAGTAAGTTAGAGCAGAATCATTCAGATGGTACAACATAGGAAAAACTTTGCCCAAGGCCAATCATGATTGTGACAGTCTTGCGCTTTTTAGAGAATAGCATGGGCCGGGCACAGTGGCTCACGCCTGTAATCCCAGCACTTTGGGAGACCGAGGCAGGCGGGTCACTTGAGGTCGGGAATTCAAGACCAGCCTGACCAACATGGAGAAACCCTGTCTCCACTAAAAATACAAAATTAGCTGGGCGTGGTGGTGCATGCCTGTAATCCCAGCTACTCGGGAGGCTGAGGCAGGGGAATCACTTAAACCTGGGAGGCGGAGGTTGCCGTGAGCCAAGATAGCACCATTGCACTCTAGCCTGGGCAACAAGAGTGAAACTCCGTCTCTAAATAAATAAATAAGAATGAAAGCCGAAACTCACAGTTTCTCTTTTGCTTTGATTTTTTTATCTACCAGATAACAGTAGTATTTTGGAAGGCAGGAGGAATTGTGGAAAGAAATGAGTTTTGGGGACTGGCTGATTGGAGGCAAATCCAAGGACGCTCATTGCTGGTGTGTGACTCCAGGCTGTTACTCAGCTTTTCCAAGCCTCCGTTTCCTTATTGTAAAACAGACCCATGGTCTAGCTAGTAGCATTCCTATGGTGAGTGAAATAATATGTATAAAACTCCTGACACAGTGCTTGGCATATACCAGATTGAGCCATGTAAAATTGCCAATATCTGACTATTTATGACCTACAAAAACAGCATTTCATATGATTCTGCCTAACAACTGAAGCGTGATAAATATTATTGATAATGTGGGTGGTGGTGATAAAGTTTTGTAATCAGAAAGACCTGGTTTCAAATTCCACCCCTTCACTGGCCTGACTTATTTTCATTCATTTGACAAATATTATTTTGAAAACCCCTATGTGCCAGGCACTATGCCAGGCTCAGAGATGGTCTAGAAAGAAGACAGATGTCCTCATGGCTCTTGTGGCCTGAGCCTAAATTTCCTCATCTGTCAGACGGTGACAGTAACACACTCCTTACCAGCGAGCTGGGAGGACTGGAGACTCAAGTTCCTCAAACGCCAGGAGCACTGCGGCAGGTGAAAAGGATTCCCTCAATGGCAGCAGTTTGTAAACGGCTTTTATATCTGTGGCTCCAGATAACATTAGTTTCAGCTGAGTTAACTCCCAGCGCTAAGACTTCAGGACTTCACAGAGTTATTGGGGTGCTGCTCCAGGCAGTTTCCCAAAAGGCTAGAATGCAGAGGGAATCTCCTTCCCTAGAGATCTTTTCTAAACAGTAACTGTTGGTTCAGGAAAGATTAAAACATTGTGCTGCTGGGAGGCTCAGGGGTGAAGGGTGTACTTTTAAGAGAACCAGTTTCAGAGCTGGGTTCAGGGTTTAAGCCCTACCCTCTGCCCCCTTTTACCAGCTGACAGCCTCATGCAAGCCTGGTGGACCACCTGAAGCCACGTTTCTGCATCTGGAAATAGAAATGTGGGTACTAGTTATGTTGAAAGGACTCATGTTAGATGATGGCTATGCAAATACCTTGTAAACCAGGGGTGTCCAATCTTTTGGGCTCTCTGAACCACACTGGAAGAAGAGTTGTCTTGGGCCACACATAAAATACACTAACCCTATTGGTAGCTGATGAGCTAAAGGAAAAAAAGTCGCAAAAAAAAAAAAAAAGAAATCTCATAATGTTTCTAAGGAAGTTTATGAATTTGTGTTGGGCTGTATTCAAAGCCATCCTGGGCCATGTGTGACCCACAGGCTGCGGATTGGACAAGTTTGTTGTAAACAATGCCATGATGACGGCATAAAGTCATTATTATCAGTATTAGGAAGGTTCTCGGGTTTCCTCTAGCCTTGGGCTTTTTTTCTGAAGTGCGCATGTCCTCTGCTAGATTTTGTAACCAATGTTGATTGCCTAATGACTATGCTAAAATTGGGCTAACGGCATGTTTTTGGTGGCTACGAAACTGATACAGGTGTTTTCATTTCTCCACTTAGTTCCCGCTGCCTTTGCTGGACTGATGTACTTGTTTGTGAGGCAAAAGTACTTTGTCGGTTACCTAGGAGAGAGAACGCAGAGGTAGGTAATGGGGACTACTAAAGAACTGTGGAGTGATTCCTGATTTTCGAGCAGGAAGAGTGATAATTCAAAACAATATTTTACTAGAGTCATGGCTCTGTAGCATCCCCTTGGGTGGGAGGGGGAAGGCTGACTAGGACCTCTGATCCTTCTCTCCCTGAGTTTCGAAGACCGAAAATACAGCTGGGGGACTTGCCCAGTTTTCTCATTAAGCAATTCCTCTGCATGGTGTTGACTTTCAAAGGGTGCTTCAGTGTTGTCTGTTGCACGTGCCTTGCGGTCCCACACCCTACACTCCCGCCTTGCAGAGTCTGGCGCTGGAATGACTTTTTATGTCTGGGTTCCCAGGCCTCTTGGGAGTGAAACATTTGACTGTTTGTCTAGAGAAATGAGAACGAACGCTTGCACCTTGTGATAAGTTGTCCTGAGGAACAGATCTTCCAGGGGCCAGCAGAAAGAACGTTGGGAAAATAAGATGCAGACATGACGGCCAGGTGCGGCGGCTCACGCCTATAATCCCAGCACTTTGGGAGGCTGAGGTGGATGGATCACCTGAGGTCGCGAGTTCGAGACCAGCCTGATCAACATGGTGAAACCCCGTCTCTACTAACAAATATACAAAAAATTAGCCAGGCATAGTGGTGGGCGCCTGTAATCCCAGCTACTCGGTAGGCTGAGGCAGGAGAATCGCTTGAACCCAGGAGGCGGAGGTTGCAGTGAGCCAAGATTGCACCACTGCACTCCAGCCTGAGCAACAAAAGCAAAACCCCATCAAAAAAAAAAAAAGATGCAGACATGAGACTGTGAAACTGACTAGCATCACCATTGCATTGTTTATAGATGTTGCCAGACAGAAAGCTCCAAAGCAGCACAGTACCTTCCTGACACCTGGATTAGGAAATCTAGATTTTAGTAAAATAAATGCTGATACTTACAGAAGAAACGTTGGAGTTAGAGTATGCCATCAGTTCCTTAGAGATTGCAATTCCTAATGCACTAGTAGGGGTCCAGGTGCCAGGAACGCGTTCTGCGAGGCTGCTGCCCCAGGTGCCGACCCCAGCCTTCCACACCATTTTCCTTCCTTTTCTATGTTCACAGCCGCTCTGTCTTTTACAATAGCACCCCTTTCTAGTGGCTAATGGGCTCTATGATTAGATAGCATCCTTCAGTAGCGATAAAGGCAGTGACATCCTGGGGAGGTCAGCGGGTGAAAGCGCTATATCTGGAAAACCTGAGAGCTTGTGAAGCTCAAGGACTTGACAGGGTTAGACCACGAGCCGGGCTGCAGCTGGAAAAAGAATGACTGTTCTTTTGGCAGATCCTTCCCTGTGCCGTCTCTTTCTTCATTCCCCTCTAGTAGCATTCTTATTTATCCTCTAAAACCACAATTCCATTATCTCTCCTATTCTTATCAACACTGCCCTAAATGATATTCTTTATTCTCTTTTGCCCTGGAAAACCTCTAGCATACCTTTTCCCATGTGATTACCTTGTTAAGAGTGGGGGTGGAATGTCTAGCGATGAAATAAGAGGGTCTTCTCTTTTGCCTGGCTCCCCATGCAGCCCTATCTTACCCCTCGCAGAGTCCCAGGGATGTGGCTCAGTCACTGCTCCTCTCTTCATCTGTCACCACTTGCTTAAGATCCTACAGCTGCTTTAATTCCGAGACAATCTGCAGAGCATAACAAAATTTGTCCACCTACCCACATGTCCTTTTAACTTGAAAGGTTTTACTAACTGATTCCTATTAGGGAACGAACAGAGGTGGCAAAAATAAACAATAGAAGATTGGTTTACAAGAAATCTTTAAAATAGTAGATTTCTTCAGACCTCATTGAAATATAAACGGCCTGACTTCTTATGTCCCTCCCTGGTCTCCCGCTTTAGATGATAAGAAGATCCCGCCAGCCCCGTAACCCACTGTGTTCAAGATCCCCTTCTCCTGCCCTGTGGGTGTGGTAGGCTTTACTGATGAATCATGGTGCTCTTTCTTGCAGAGACCAAAACTGGCCTCAGAGTCCTTCTTAACACAGATACTGCTTAACACAACCGCTCTGAGTAGTTGTCATCAGTAGAAGTAATAGATACTAGAAGAAATGTCTAAGCCTAATCTAGACCAAAATACGGCCTGATATAGATGTAAGCCAGAGGGGCTCTATGGTTAAATGCAAGGAGATTTTCAATCCTGCCTTCTAGAAGCTACTTGTTGAGAGCTTCTTCAGTTAGGCTCACCTCCTCCCCAGGTCCCCCTTCTGTTCCTGGGCTATGTCACACTTGGAATCTGCAGACACCTAATGCCCTTGGGACCTGCTTTAGTTCTTGACCTCACCAACTGAGGAGGAATTGCTTGATGAGATTCTTCCCCTGGAATTTCTCTCTTGGACCCCAGATGGTCCTTTGCCCCTTTCCAGAAGTTGCTTCAGCCCTGTCCACTTCGGAAGTTCAGTGTCATCCTTGGTCCAGTGGGCAGGGAAGACACTGCATAATGTATGCCCCAGTCTGAGCTTCTTCCTTCAGGCTTCAGGCTGCCCTGCGAGGATTTTGTAGTTCCCTTTTTAATGCCCTCGAGAAGTTTCTGGCTCTTATTTTCAGTCCTTCATCTTACTCTCTGACCCCTTCCTCTATCCTGTTTAGTTCACCTGTAGCAGTTACTACCCAGCAGTTAACTGAACCCAGTTCATTTCTTTTCTTTTCTTTGTTTTCTTTTTTCTCTTCTCTTTTCCCCTTCCCTTCCCTCCCCCTCCCTCTCCCTTCACTTCACCTCACCCTTCACTCCCTTCACTTCCCTCCCCTCCCTCCCTCTCCCTTCACCTCACCTCACCTCATCTCACTTCACAAACCTTGGGTCTCCTTGGGAGAAAGGCTTCCGTTTTTTATGTTCACTTCTGCGTAAATTCCTTCAGCAACGAACACATGGTACCGTGGCACATAAGGCAGGGAGCAAATATCTACTCGAATGAAGTTGAGTGAAATTGAGCAAGTGAGTAGAGCAACTAAGGACGGAAGGAGGAGTAGGGGAACCTGAGTTCACGGCTCAAGAAGTGGGCAGTCCCATCCCACCCACCATTGAAGCTGAGAAAACCTTCAAATTGCAAAGAGGATCAGGTGGAAGCCCCGAACTGAGGACAGGACCTCTGAGGGATACGGAAGAGGGAGCAACCTAGTGCCCACTGGGAAGGTAGGTGAAATAAAAGGCCAAACAGTCCCAGTTGACAGTGCTGGGCCCAAGTGGCCATGAGTCTTTGGCGCCCAGTGATAGCATAAATGAATGAAGGCAAGGAAACCAAGATTCAGGCTGGGGCATCAGGTGGCTCAATGCTTATAAATCCCCAGCACCGGGGAGGCCGAGGCTGGCAGATTGCTTTAGTTCAGCAGTTCGAGACCAGCCTGGGCCAAACATGCGAAACCCTACCCTACTAAAAAATACAAAAATTAGCTGGGGGGTTGTTGGTGGGGCACCTGGAAGTCTCCAGCTACTTCAAGAGATGAGGTACAAGAAAAAAATCACTTGAACCCTGGGAGAGTTGGAGGTTGCAGATTGAGCCAAGATCAGTCCCCGCACTCCAGGTTTGGGGCCAAAACAGAGGCAAGACTCCCTTAATGTAAGGTGGAGGTTGAGATGAGGGAGGTGGGAGGTGAGGTGAGGAGTGAGTGAGAATGAGTCTGAGGTGAGGTGATAGGAGAGGGAGGGGCAGGGAACGGGAAGTGAAGGGAGGTGAAGGGTGAGGGTTGAAGTGAAGGGAGAGGGGAGGAGCCAAGAATCATGGGGCAACTGCACTCCAGTGGGCAAGCAGAGCAAGAACTCCTATGCTAAAGTGGAGGTGAAAAGTGAGGTGAGGGGAGGTGGAGTGAGATTGAGGCGGGGGT